TGGCTTCGCAACCCCCTGTGCCAGCTCCCTCAGTACTCTCAGGTGGATCCCATCCAGCCCCATAGACTTGTGAGCATCCAAGTGGCATAGCAGGTTGTTAACTGCTTCCTCCTTGATTATGGGGGCTTCATTCTGCTTTATGTTTTGACTGACTTGGTGTAAAGGTAGGGCCAGGACTATACTTCCCCGTATTATCAGTGTGCTCAAGCTGGTGCAAACCCTTCTGCTGAGCCTGGGAACAACATTAAGGGTCCCAGAGTGAGTCAGAAGGCATCGTATCTGTGTTGCCGTATGCCTGTGAGCTTTGAGTTTGGCTTTGTACACATGGCTTTTGACTTGAGCTGTTCTCCATTGGGGCCTGAGGTAAGAAGAGCAAAGTACCCTTTCCAAAGAAAGAGCCTCTCTGTGAGTTTGGGAATGGTCTGTTCTCCTCCTGCCTCTGTGTCATTGCCTGTTATGTTGTGTGTAATGATACTTGCCTAATGATGCTTGCCTTCTTTTTGTACTTTTTTTTTTTCTATCCCTGCTGATACGAGTGTGTTTAGTAGAACACTCTCAACATAAATTAATAATCTTTTTTTTTTCTGTTAATAGTTATATATTGCAGTGGATCTGAAAGTGATATAAGAAAGAATTGCTCCTGGGAAGAGAAGCCTCCCTGCAAGGCCAACCCTGAAGATGTGGACTGCCATTGTATTCTTCATGCTGATTTCCTTCTGTGTATGTGAACACAGGTTTTCTGTCCTGAGACGGAGAGGAGTCCATGTAGTGCGAATGAACAGGCTTGCAACTGAAAAGCAGTGCAGGCAGGCTTGTCAAAGCCCAGGTGCTTCAGGTGAGGTTCTTGTCCTTTAGTTGGAATGCCATCTGGGTTTTCTGTTCCTTAAAGGTCTCCTTCCCTGACAACTATCTTTCTTAATTCCAGTTGTTTACAGGCATTTACAGTTATGGCTTCTCTGTGCAGTCCTGTGGTGCTAAATAACTTCTGACAGCTTTGGTTAAATTGAATCCAGAACAACTATTTCTCAGGGCCCTTCTAGCTTATGTAAGAAACAGCATGAACGTGAGCTTGGTGTGCACTGGTAGCATGCAGTGTTAGGTCACTTGACTTGAAGAATGATTATTCCATGCTGCCAGATGTTTGCAAGTGAACAGTGCTGTTATAGACAGCTGCAGTGGAATGAGTAGTCTTTGCTCACTGGTATTTATGTGTGTTTTTTCTGCCTTAGAAGAAACCAGTTATATCCTGCAACCAATCTCAAGGTTAAACAAGTCTGGGGAGATGAGCCTTCTGCTGTCTACCTCTGAGATGTCCTTAAAAAGCATTAAACTTCTCAATGAGTCTTTCAGAGTTGTCCTTATGAAGGACTCTATCTTATGTAGCCACATGTGAAAGCTTGTAGCACCTACAAACAACTGGTGATGCTGTGGTGAAGATGAGACCTTGGATCAGGTGGATGAATGCCTGACAATCAGACTGATAGGAACATCATAAAGATGTCTTTTTTTAATGCCCAGTGGTTTCAAACCTTTATTTTAAACATGAGACATCCATTCATAGTGGAAAAAAGCAAGCTTTTTATTTAGGAGGTAAAATATGAGTGGGTTTGTCTCCCAGGCACTAGAGCTGTGAAACTTTAGCTTCTGCTTTATGACACGTTCACACTGACTGTGAACACACACACTTACAGTCTGAAGCACTGCATGTTTGTCTGTTCCACCTGAGAATCTCTAAACACTGTGCACATGTCATCTCAACCTCCTGATATCTTGATAAGGGTAGGAAAGGTGCTATCAGCTGCCCCTTCCAGAGGAGGGACATAAGGAATTTAGTTAGTCTGTGATCAGGGCTGGGAGATGATCTGAGTGCATATTTTGCCCTGTTGTTGACTTCAGCCACTTTTTTTATACCCTTCACCTTGTTCTCTCCTGACGTGTTTTGTGCAGAGCAAGTCCAGTTGAGTGTTAGCTTTGTTGGGCAGAGGGTTTTGAGCCTCTAGAATTAGGTGACCTGTTCCATCTTCAGGAAACCACTCAAAACTAACCCAAAAGCATAAACCTTTTCAGGTTTTACATTCTGTATTAAACCCACTGAAGCAATTTAATTCCTTTTTTTTTTTTTTTGATGGCCAGTCTGTTGCACAACCTGGTGTAAAGGGAAATGGGAAAGATACAAGCTCTTGACATAAATGTATAGCCATGTGCAGAGAGATCATCTGGAGAGAAGGACCTGAAATGAATTTTTTTTTTTTTTTTTTTTTTTTTTTTTTCTGATTAGCTTTAGGTTTTAAGATTAGCTTTACTGCTGTCGTTCTCCATTCTCACCTTCCCCAAGTATATTTATTTTTGTGCTTTCTTTCACTACAGACATGAGGCCTGAGGCTTAGATGTCAGAATGGTTACAACTATGTAACTGTCAGTAAAGAAGCAGTGATTTTTTTAAGGTATTACAGTGTTAAGTTGCATGGGAGATGTCTTCATAGCTACATTGCTTGGAGAAGTAGAAAAATAACATTCCTAGCTGGTTAGGCTCTCTTCTGTAGATGTAATTTATACCCTTGCTGATATGACATCACTAACTTAGAGAAGTAGCGCAACTATCACAAAAAGAACTACTTTTGATACTACATTCATGTCTCAGATGTGCCCTGTAAAAAAGGGAATGGTTGCTCGTCTAGCTGTTCCAGTTTTGCCTTTGAATATCCACACCAGAGGCCAGCATATGTAGTTAGCAAACTAACACATCACAAAATGATTGTACCAATATCATGAGACAGTTTGACACCTCAATTACATGCTAATAAAAGCAGCAAAACTTTCTAGAGCTGACAGCATGGGTAGTAACTCTAACCTCCATATGTTGTCTAACACAATGGCATCAAGTCTCCAGATGCTGCTAGGGTGATATACATGATGGCAAAAGTGCCCATCTTAGCAAAGATCTGGCAATCCAGGATTCCCAAATGCTTGGTGAACATGGTGAACCCATGTTGGGAGGTAAGATAAGCTCGTGCTCTTCCCTTTGCATCCCCAGCCATATTCCGAGCTCTCCCAAGTTTCTTCTATGGTGGCCAGTTGAGGGCTGGAGGGGAACATCTGGGCCATCTGAGCAGTCTGGCTCTGAGAACAGAGCCACTTGGCCATAATCCTGGGCTATCTTGCATGCTCTGGGGAAAATAAAGGGAAAATATGATGTGGCTGCAAGAGCAAATATTCCTGCTCCCTACTTCCACAATACATCTGCTTACCTGGCTTCTGCTTGCCTTTGGGCATCTGCGATTTCTTTCCAGTAACAGCAGGTTTAAAAATTAAATAAACCAGTTTGGTAGGGCAAGACCTTGGTGTCTGCCTACATGGTTTCCTTTCAGAATAGCTCTGAAGAGCCACTTTCTTCCCCCTGCCCCCTCCCAGTTGGAAGTGAGCAAAAAAGAGCCACTGGGTGGCATGTATCTTGCAGTGGACACATCCCCTGGAGCCTCAATCTGGAGTTGCATCAAAGGGAGTATGAATCATTCCAGCTTAATAGAGGTATCTGGTTGTCCTGGGGAGCAACAGGGAAGTCATGAGCAGCTGGATACCATCCTGATGGCAGCAGAAACCAGGGTGCTTTAACCATGCTGACCCCATTAGTCTCTTGACCTTTCTGAACTGACTGACTTAGATAGGTAGCCAATGCAATCTTGATATGCTGTTGGTTTTTTGTTTTCCCCTTCACAAGAAGTGAGAAATGGCATGATTTACAGTAGTAGATGGTCTGCATTTCTCCACTAGCATGGCTTATCAAGTGAGGGACAGGAAGTGGGATTGGAAATCAGAGCACATCTAAACATGCTTTCATTTCTGAGGAGTGGATTTTAATTTCTTGAAGGGCTGCTGTTGTATCTCCTGTTCTGTATGACTGTTGAAGCTTTTCATTTTATCGCTTTTAAAGTACCATTTTTAAAGGCTTTGAATGGTTTCAGTCACTTTCTTAACGTTTTATCAAAGTCAGTAAAATTCCACCTTTCCTAGTTTCTTTAGGGCTGTCAAAACAGACTGCAGTTGCTGGTACAGGGATTTCTCCCAAGTTCATAAATTTTCCACAAGCCCTTTTAATAACTGTGGTAACATAAATGTTTTTTTAATGAAAAGTTCAAGCTTCCCATAGCCTTAATCCTCAGTTGAGGGTAACTCTCTTTGTAGATAAGAGCTTTAAATATAGCCATATGTACCACATAGGCATGTTCTTTGCCCTTTCTCATGCTTCGAGCGAAACACAGAAATTAATTAATCTTACCATAAACTTAAATTCCCTTTAATCCACTGATGGGTGGTCAGTTGGGCACACATGTGCTTCATCCCATACTGAGCACTGTGTTATCTTCTTCCATGTTTTTTTTGTTACAGCATGTGTCCCAGAAATTAATTGCATGCTACTGTGACATTACATAAAATCATAGCATAATTTAGGCAGGAAGGGACCTTTTGAAGGTCTTTGGTCTGAACCCAACTTAGATCTGGCTGTTCAAGACCTGATGGAGAGTGTACCACCTCTCTGGCCGCCAGCCCAGTGTTTGACTGCCCTCGTGGTGGAAACTAATTTTTTCCCTTGATGTTGAGTTGGGATTTCCTGTAAATCATCTGCTTCAGCCCCTCAGACATCTAGTAGTCTTCCTTGGACTCACTCCAGTATGTTAATACTGCTCTTGTATGCTGGGGAGCCCAAAACTTTGGCGCAGTGTTTGAGATGTCTGCTCAGCGCTGGTTAAAGGAGGTTCATTCCTTCCCTCAAAGCTTGGTTGTGTGTGTGTAGACACACCCAGAAAGAAGTTAGTGAGTTCAAAGGGATGCCAGGAGACAGTTCCTGCTGTGATGAGTTTATTTAGCTTGTGTTGGGATTTGACTTACTAAAAGAGAATTTCTGGATGGCTCCCATGGCTAATGGTATCATTGTTCACCGAATGAAGAGTAAATTTCTGTGTAACTCCAAGCACTGAGGTGAGAGCTGTCCCCTATGGGTGATGAGATGGGTGTCTTCTCAGTTTCAGCTCACTTTTTTTTTTCCCCTCATTAAGACATCTAGATGAATGCTAGCATTTAGATGGGTCCAAACTGTAGTCTACCCTCTTTGTCCCTGTCTGGGTGAGTGAATTGCTGTTGTTAAAAGATGTTGGTCAGAAGACAAGCAGGTAGGTAGGCTGCAGCTGCTATATTGATTTCATTGGCTTTCCAGTTATTTTCACTAAGGCTGAGTCAGGATCCTTTAAAGCCAGTCCTTCCAGCTATCGGGGTTATTTTTAATTCTTTAATTAGAGCCATGAAGCAGTGTGTTCAGTATACTGTGTGTAGCGACCAATTTTCTCTGCTCTTTTCAGGTAACCGTCACTGTAATTGGTCTGTGCCCTACCAGAATCGCTGCATCCTCTTGCAGTGTCACCAGCTGAGCATGTGCCAGAATGCCAGAGAACAAGACATCAAAGCTCTGCTTGGAGGTAATGCCATGCCTCACACTCCTGCCAAATCCCGGATCCTAGTCCTTTTGCTTTAAATGCCTGTGTTTAGACCTTGACTGACTTTCAGCTGAGGGAGATGAGTTGTGAAATGCCTGTAGGATTATTCTGTAGGTAAAGCTGGTTCACTGGAAAAACTGTTTCACTAGCTTTCTAGGGGCTCTGGCACTTATGTGTGCATGATGTGTCTTTGAGTTACTCTTATAACTGTTACTGAGTAACAGTTTGTCTCCATGTTGAACACATCATTCATTCGGGCCATTTGCACTCCACACGGTGTCCTTTGGAAAATAAAGGCGTAACAGATATATTTATATTTTTTAGGAGAAAGGAAAATGTCTTGGCATTGTTTTTTCTAAGATTGCCAAGATTTTCTGCCAGATCTATAATATCTTCTATAATCAGAGCAGCCTTAGCAGCAATTGCTGATGGTGACTTTCTGGTATGAGGGTCTTCAATTTTAATTAAGTGACATGATAACAAAAGGGAGCTTGTTGGTAATTGGGGAATCGATCTTCTAAAGTATGGTCCAAGAGTTCACTGTACCCAAGTTTAAAAAAAAGAAAGTTTGTTCATGGTTCTTTTGGTTTGGCAAAGGTTTCTCTGCAACATAGCAACCAGACCTTTAATAAGCAGGGATTTATATCACTATAAATCTAGATCACTAGCTGTGAAGGAAATTATCCCGAAGTATGAAGGTGTAAGCAGAAATTTCCAGTCAGTTTTGAGAGATGAAAGTTATAAATCTAAGCATGAAGGCTTTGTCGATGCTGTGTAACTTTGAAAGCATGAGTCGTCTTTTCAGGAGCTGGCATTCGTGACGCTGTTCCTGTTGATAATGTGCTTCTGCGTTGTTGCTCTGTACTTCATTACTCCCCTTTTGTGGAATTAATTCCCTAGCTGGGCAAACACCAGAGGTCTGTGGCAAAAGACAAACACCCACCCCCCACCCCCCAAAAAAAACCCCAAAACAAACAAACAAACAAAAAACCAACCCCAAAGGAATTATGTGCAATAAAGGCAGGGGTCTGAGTTTTCATGTTCTTGCTGACTTCAGGACTGATTTATTCCAGTTGTACTACATGTACTGCAGAATACATGTTCTGGTTTGCCTGTTGGGGGTATGAGGTCAGATTTGAGCTTGAGAGTTTTATTCTTATGAAACTTACTGGTTTTGTCTTTTTGAAGAAATTGTCGGTGGCAAGAGGGAGACAGTCCTGTTTCACCACCAAAGCTATCCACAGAAAAAGGACAGGATGGTGAATGCACAGGCTGATCGACACAATGTGGAAAACATGCTTTCCTCAACTGCTTGGACTCGCAAGATTCACTTGAGGCATTTGCTTGGGCTTGGGAGTGAAGATGTAACAACAAATGCAAGAAAAGCAATTGCAAGCAATGCTGCCACCACCACCGTGACCACCACCACTGCCACAGCTGTAATAATAAACATTACAAACGCAACTGTCCTCAGTACCGCTTATGAAACAATTGCCAAAGCCTCAAATGTCCCTGGAGGTTCTGGTCTCCTTGCTGAAGCCAATGCCTCTTCTCCTGCTTCTGGTAACATCTCTGCTTCCACTTCCAGCCACATCACCAAGCTTGTGGCCACCACTGAAAAATCAGGAAATAGTAGCTCTGTCTCAGTATTGTCCCCCACTTCTACTTCTGCTCCCCTCACTGTCATTTCTGAAGCAGGTACTCAAATACCTCAAACAGAGCAGTTTAACTCAGCCACCACCACCAGCACTCCCCGCTCTAGTAGCCCCTCCACTGTCAGAGCTGGCCTGAAGACACTGAGCACAACATTGACCACCCTCATCCTGCAGGATACGGGAACATCTTCCACTGCTTCCACTCATGCCACAGCACTCACCCACTTGGAGAGTTCACGCTCCGCAAGTCCACTGCCTGGCATTACATTGCTATATCTAGGGCCAGAAGCAAGTACAGCCACAACATCCTTGAGTAAATCGACTTCTCTTGTGGGCTCTACAAGAGGTGCCTCTACAGCAGAAACTACGACTGGGCATGGGATAAAGTCACCATCTCACATTTTTTCAACAACCACAACTCCAGCAGATCCACACAAAACAACAGCTTCGGGCCTTGCAGAAACTCAGGACATGGACAATGAGTATTTTCTCATCGCTGCCGAGCCCCTGACTCAATACTTAGTGGATAAAAGCTTGCTTCTTGCAGTGCTTTTAGTTGGTATGGTTTTTTTCATAACTGTTATAGTTCTTTTCCTTATGCAGGCCTATGAGAGCTACAAGAAGAAGGATTACACACAAGTGGATTACCTGATCAATGGAATGTATGTGGACTCAGAGATGTGAAAGGGTGGGGATAAAAGAGTGGGCAGGGAGATGGAAAGGAGATTGAAAGCTTGCCTGACTTGTTTTTCTTTCCTATTTGCCTATAACACAAACTGAAAGTGCTTCCAAAGTTACTTCTGGTGCAATTGAGGAGAAATGCCATGTACTGTATTAAGGAAAAAAAAATATTTTTTATTCAACTGTGCAACATGTTACTGAAAAAAAAAAAAAGAGTAGTCATTTTTAAAACTTCCATAATGCACAGTAGCTGTGGCCATTCTTTTTCACTGCAAAACAAACCTAACAAGGGGTAAGCAATCATCCTCGGAAAATGCTGTGGTGCTTTTTCAGATGTTTACATTGCAAGTTCCTTGTATTTCATTTGTTTCATGAATGAAAACACCAGAAGAAAACAGAGCAAAGGGTGCTCTCACCTTTTGCGAATTGCTCTGAAATTGCCAGATAAGAAGTGTGGAGTATTGCTGCAACAGGGAACTTTTAGTCCAATGTGTATCATGTTTCAGTATGCTTCTTGCTTGTAAAGAGGTCTGTTTACAAGGCATTGTAAACTCTGTTTACCGTGGAGCAGATTACTGTGCCTCTGCACTTAAATGATCTTATTTTTGTATTCACTTAATAAATGGGGCCCAGGAAGGGCATATCTTGTTGCATTTCTGTTTTCATGCCTGTCCCTGCCAGTTCAGAAGCAGGCAAGTGCGCTTTTGGTGCTGGGTAAAAAACTGGCTGAGTGGCCGAACCCAGAGAGTTGTGGTGAACAGAGTTAAATCCAGTTGGCAA